CTACCGTCTTCCCCCGAACACAACGCACCCTCATTTTGGCTGTATCTGGCCGGAAATATAGCTCGTATACATTCATTTTTAGGGTGCGTTATGTTCGGGGGAAGACGGTAGTTCAACGATGCAGGTGGGACATGGGCCCCAGTCCACTGGTCCAGTGTCCCATTAAAAAAAAAAAAAAAAAAAAAAAAAAACCCTTAAAAAGAGTGATGGGTACTAATGAGATGCAACTCATGACAACCTGTGCTCAAGTCCTCTTTCTCATTTTTTCATTTTTTTTTTATTATTCTTTTTTGCATGCTGGGGGGAGATGATTTCAAGCTGCATTTAATTTAGAAAATGACCTGTGTTCCCGATTCCCAGCTATATGAATATACAAACTTATTACAAAGCGAAGCCCCGTTTAAAAAAAAAAAAAAAAAAAAAAAAAAGGAAGCAAATGACGAGTTTTCTATTCAGAGGACAAAGTAACCCATCGACTTGAAATAATGAAATTGTAATGTTTGAGTTTGCTAAATATGGAACCTTTTTTTTCTTTTTCTTTATATAGAGGAATCAATTTGCTAACCATTCTGATTTTGTACCCTGGCTATGGTGGGTGGTGATGTCATCACAAATGAACTAAGCAGGTTTCTGAGGAGCTCGGTGCAACCGTTTACTGGCCGACACTTCTCCCTTTGTGCCTGTGGGGAATATGGATAGGCGCGACGCGTGGCCTGTGGCTTTTGAAGAGCCGAAGGGCCAAACCTGGTCGTTTCTCGCTGAGCATGGCCTTCCTTTGGTATTTTGTCATGAATGTGTGTGGGCTCGGCTATCACTGCCTTAGAGTCCTTCGTCCAATCCTCCTAGTTGGCGATGTTGTCGCAACGGGATGTTCCTCCGTCGGCATCATCGTAAGCTTTCTGTCCATCCTTCGATGCGTGGACGACACAAAAGTTACGACAAAGGGTGCCCTTTTCCTAGCCTTTGGTGCCACTGCTTCCACTGCGATTCTCGGTCCTGTCTCTGGCTACCCGATCCTTCGCGATCTCGTCTACATTGTCCCTCTTCTGCTGGCCGCGCTTCTCGCTGGGGTGATCCTCGTCCAACTCAAGGGGGGAGTAAATGTTACGCAGGCGAAGGCATGGCTACAGCTGGGAACTGTTAGTTCCTTATGGTCTCTATGCTCCTTGCTTTTGGATCGGTACCTGTGCACCCTTTTCGGGGCACATGGACTGTTCATTGTATGGATCTATCTAGGAAGCCATTTAGGGCTCTTATTTGTCCATATGTTCGCCCTCACTCTCTACTTGCCGCTCCCGGGGGCATACATAAAAGTAGACTAAAGATACCCGGGGAAGGGGACCCGGGGAGTGGCCACGGCGCCGAGAAGGGAAAGGTGGGCTACACGTAAACCACCAGTACGCCAGGGGGTCTTAGGCCGGCTCTGATGCAAATGCGTATGATGGACCCCCGCGGCGCACAAATTCATCCTCTGCGTTAACGCCGAAAAACGCGGTAGGTACTGTTGGTTTAAATCCTCTTAGTTGTGAAACACACACCTTCCTTTCCTTCCTTCTTCCTCTCTCTATTCCTTTTTTCAATTTTTTGAATTTTTTTCTCTCTTTTCTCGGTTCTTTGACCATGACAAGCTGATATCGCAAAAAAAAAAAAAAAAAAAAAAAAAAAAGACAAGCTGATATCGCGGGCTTGAGAAGGATGGGATGCAAAATAGGTGGTCCTCTTGTTGTTGTTGTTGTTGTTGTTGTTGTTGTTGTTGTTGTTGTTGTTGTTGTTGTTGTTTTTTAATAAAGCCCAGGTTGTTGTAGAGGTGGGATACTAGACGGATGGCAGTCACCCACAGTGCTCGGCCACTTGGTTGTCCAGATGAACCCCTCTGAAGACCCCACCCACCCTTCCGCTTATCGTTTTGCCCTGGCGCACCCCCACCCCCCCTGTCCTACCCTAGTGTTAACCACCCAGGATGTCCTCTTGTCTTTTCATATCCTTTATCCTTTCTTCAGTTGTTCTTGTTAAGGAAAATGACACTTTGAAAAATGTTCCTTAGCTTTCAAATTGCTGCTTCCCATCCAGACAATAGCTGTCCATGGCCTGGTACACGTTCGACTTTGTAAATGTGTTTTAGGGTTTAGGATAAATTCTACGCAGCCTCCTCCTCATTCTCTCATCGCTCCGATGTTTCACACCCCTTTAACAAAGTTAGGGACCTGCCAGTGGTGTCCATGAAAACCAAACCAACTCCGATCTTTGGCTGTCGTACTCGAATCCCTGTGCTGTGGAGTTTACTAAGGTTGATTAACTTACCCGAGTTGACAGTCTTCGGTCCCTATAGACCATCTCTCTCTCTCTCTCTCTCTCTCTCTCTCTCTCTCTCTCTCTCTCTCTCTCTCTCTCTCTCTCTCTCTCTCT